GTCCATACTGGTCCATACCGGTCCATACCGTTCTATACCGGTCCATACTGGTTTATACTGGTCCATACCAGCCCATACTGGTTTATACTGGTCTATACCGGTCCATACTGGTTTATACTGGTTTATACCAGTCCATACTGGTCCATACCGGTCCATACCGTTCTATACCGGTCCATACTGGTCTATACTGGTTTATACTGGTCCATACCAGCCCATACTGGTTTATACTGGTCTATACCAGTCCGTACTGGTTTATACTGGTTTATACCAGTCCATACCAGTCCATACTGGTTTATACTGGTCTATACCGGTCCGTACTGGTTTATACCTGTCCATACCGGTTTATACTGGTCTGTACTGGTTTATACTGGTCCCTACTGGTCTATACTGGTTTATACCGGTCTATACCGGTCCGCCCCACCCCGTCCCGTCCCCCTGGCGCCCCCGGTGCGTTTTCAGGTGCTCCCTGAGGTGATGTTTGAGCTTGAAGCGTTTGTGGCAGCGGCCGCAGGGGAAGGGCCGCAGGCTCAGGGTCAGCAGGACGTGGCGGTCGCGCTTGGGCCGCGCCGCGAAGCGTTTCCCGCACGCGCAGCCGAAGCGCTTCCCGTCCGCCGGCGCCGCCGCCAGCTTCACCGGGGCGTGCGCCGGCGTCCCCCCGCGCCGCGGCAGCGCGTTGCCGTGCAGGTCCAGCGGCGTCCACGCGCCCACGGCGGCCGCGGCGGCCTCGGGTTTGATGGACAAGACGGAGGAGGAGGAGGAGGAGGAGGAAGAGGAGGAGGGGACATCCGGCGCGCGGCGCGGGCGGAGATGGAGGAGATCGAGGGGGAGGGGAGGCCATGAGGAGGAGGAAGGCGGGGTGGTGTCGTGGATTCTCATGGTGACGTCGTGGATGGTTCTGGTGTCACCATGGATGGTCCCATCATCATCATGGATGGTTCTGATGTCATCACGGATGTTTCTGATGTCACCATGGATGGTCCCATCATCATCACGGATGGTTCTGATGTCATCACGGATGTTTCTGATGTCACCATGGATGGTCCCATCATCATCATGGATGGTTATGATGTCACCATGGATGGTTCTGGTGTCACCATGGATGGTTCTGGCGTCACCACGGGTGGTTCTGAAGTCACCATGGATGGTTCCATCATCATGGATGGTTCCATCATCATGGATGGTTCTGAAGTCACCATGGATGGTCCCATCATCATCATGGATGGTTCTGATGTCACCATGGATGGTTCCATCATCATCATGGATGGTTCTGGTGTCACCACGGATGGTTCCATCATCATCATGGATGGTTATGATGTCACCATGGATGGTTCTGGTGTCACCATGGATGGTCCTGTCGTCACCACGAACGGTCCTGATGTCACCATGGATGGTCCCATCATCACCACAAATGGTCCCACTGCCACCACAAATGGTCCCGATGTCACCACGGCTGCTCCCCTCACCACCGTGGGAACCCCACGATGACAATGACGAGGGCCCTTCTCCAGCGCGCTTGAGCCGCGCGGCCGCGGCGCCACCACGGAGGGTCCACGAGGAGGAGGAGGAGGATGATGAAGATCTTCCTCCACCACGGCTGGCACGCGATGACCCGCTGGGACCACAGGTGGCCCGCGATGACGACGATGACGAAGGCGAAGACCCATCAAGACCATGGATGGACCCATCAAGACCACGGATGGACCCATCTCCATCACGGACGTTCCATGACGATGAAGACCCTTCACGACCATGGACGGCCCCTGGTGACGATGACGATGGAGATCCTTCGCGGCCATGTTTGGCCCACAATGACCCCTCACGGCCACGGATGGAGCCTTTCAGACCACGGATGGACCCGTCACGGCCACAGATGGACTTCGGTGACGATAAAGACGGTCCATCAAGACCATAGATGGACTCATGACCATCGCAGATGTTCCACAAGGATGGGCCTTCATCACCAGGGATGTTCTTCAAGGAGGAGCCTTCATCACCAGGGATGTTCTTCAAGGATGGGCCTTCACCACCATGGATGCTCCTTGAGGATGATGATGATGCTTCACCACCATGGATGTTCCTCAAGGATGACGCTGACCCTTCACCACCGTGGACATCCCTCGATGACCCTGACCCATCACCACGGACGTCCTTTGAGGATGATGATGATGACCCTTCACCACCACGGCTGTTCTTCAAGGACAATGACCCTGACCCTTCACCACCGTGGACATCCTTCAAGGACAATGACCCTTCACCATGGACATCCCTCGATGCCGCTGACCCTTCACCATGGAAATCCCTCAAGGACACTGACCCTTCACCACGGACATCCCTCAAGGACACTGACCCTTCACCATGGACATTCCTTGATG